ACTACATGTACATACAAAGTGATATGCAAAACCTCAACTACTCTGGGTGATAGAAGCTGAACTAAATTTTCCTTGAAACTCAAAACTCAGATACTCAAGTACAGTCTGTGGGGAAAAACAAAACATAAACAGTGAACTGGGAAGCTCATTGAGTGGTAGGTTAATAGGAAAATATTCTCGTAAAACTTCTTTCATAAACGACCGAAATTCAACTCTTAAAATAAACTTCATAAAACTGAAGTAACAAACATTCTCATTTAAATCTCATAAAATTTGAGCAACTAAAAACTCAGTAAACTTTCTCAAGATCAAACTTGTAACAACAATTTTCTTTCTATGTAAACTGAAAAGACAACGCTCCCAAGTCTAGGATTAGGATTCGAAATCCGGATTTGGCCCTAATCGCCCCGACATTCCCTTGTGTCCCCTGCGACCTAGTTACGCCAACTTTTCAACCTGCTCTAAAACACATTCTAAAACATATAAAACATTTTTATATCAAACATAAAACTGAACACCACACATGTATCCATTCTATTCTGGTCTACTGGCGTAGAGTAATCTCAATACACACAGCAGAATAATTCTCTCAATACACGGAGTCAAATGGTCCAAAGACCTTCTATTTCTGGATATACTATAGAAACACATTCTTATAACATACATGTAATCACCTGAATACAATAACATGGTGGTTTGACAACTATTCTCATAAACTGTTCTAAAATTCTTTTCTTCTTCTTTCTAACAACTTTTCTAACTTTATCAAATCATTTTAAAAATATTTCTTTCTAAGAATCTTTCATGAAATTCTAATATCATTTTCTGAAATCTCTTTCTAAATATATTATTTTCATAAGCTTTAAACATTTCTTTAAAATAATAAAGCATTTCTAAATTCTAAGAAACATTTCTAATTTCTCGAACAAACATATTTTTTTTCATTCTGAACAGAAATGTTAAATCTTACGTAATATATATAATTTCTCAGAAATTTTATAATAAAATCTAAAACGTGAATACAATAACCATTCACAAATCCTTTAAACTCGGTCGTCCTTTGCTCCAACTTTTGCCTAACCTGAAATATCGATCAACTCCCAAATTAATTCACTTAATTCCAACATAAACTAATTCCAAATTAATTACAATAACTTCAAAATAAATCAATTATCCAAATTCCTCATTATTTTCTCTGTTCATTTAAAAACATCACTTCTTCTATTTCATACTACCTTACAAGTGGGGCCCACGAACACAATTCAATTTCTCTTCCTTTCAACTTCACACAATTACACCATTTTTTTCCTTTTTATTTCTTATTTATTTTTATCCAAACTTTCTTTCTCTCGCTTCCATTCAACACCCCCCATTATCTTTTTCTTCTTTCTCCACTCAAAACCCACGAATTTTTCTTCTTTTCTTCCCTCCTTCTCTGTTTTCTTTCTTTTTTTTTTTCTCAAGGCTC